AAATGTATGCAGACTTTATCCTATCTTTTTGAAGTAAAGAGGATGTTCTGATAGACCCTCAACTCAAAAAAAATAAAATCAAAGCACGATTGAAAAGAAAATAATGATGACAGAATAACAATGGGCAAAGTAAAAGAAGTATTAGAAATTGAAGACTAAGGGTAAGGGTGTATTCGGTATGGAGGAAAATGAAAAATCTTTTCTAGGAAAACAAATACAGTAATTTCTTACTTATTTTCTTGTGTTCAACATACAAATAAAAATATTATATCAAAGACAAAATTATGAGTATGAGGTCAGGGTAAGGTTATGTGTGTTGTGGTGGGGGATTGTGGGGTAGAGTCGGGGTGTGGGGAAGGTGGGGTCGGGGTCGAGTTTGGTGGTGAAGTGAGTGGCAAAAAAGAGATAATGCGACTTGTTTTCTCTGTTTTCATTAAAGAAGTTATTATCCTAAAGAAAATATTTTCTAAAATTTTTGACAAACCAAAACACCAGAAAAAAGAAAACCACTTTTCAATCCTCCCTATTGAACACATCTTAAATATAAATTAATTTGACCAGCTTATAAATATGGACAAATACCCTCATAATATGTTTTACAAAGAGACTAAATAAGGGATGATGAAGTTACTAATTACTTACCAACAAGTGAAACAAGGAGAATACAAAAGAAGAAAGAGAGCTTGTGAGATAAGTACATCTTAGCCATGCTAATTGTAATTAACAAAGTTAAAATTGTGTTGAGTTCATTTTCTTGTTTGATGGAAGATCAAATATATATAGAGGCCTATACAATTGTTTAAAAAATAAAAATATCTCACTCAAAAACTATATTATTACTATATATTATCTACTATTGCTAGTGTCCCATGTGCACATTCTCTCTCTCCTGGCTGCTAATACATAAAGCATCAAAGGATGGCTCACTTTTGTTAGAATTATTATTATATTAGGAATTAGATAAGAATGACCATGCTAAGATCAAGATCAGTATAACAAAATAATTTTTAGCGGAAACAAATATGTATATCTATTAAGTGTGTTTAAAAAATTTATCGGCATAAGTTAATTAGTATTGATCAATATTTCTATAGGTATTACGGATATATACAAAAAGTAATAATTCCTTGGTTAACTTTTACTTGTCACTTATTCCTAAAATAGGTTTCATTTTTATTTGTCCCTTTTGACATATCAAGAAAAGACAATAATTTTTTGTCATATTTTATCCTCAGCATTTAATACTTATTTTTCAAATCATTTTCTAAGAAATCATTTAATAGGGGATAGTTTGGTAAAATATATATATCATTAATAATTTTCTTAATTGGTGTGCAAAGTCAAATTGTGATAAGTAAAAGTGAAGGAGGGAGTAATTGCCTCTAAAAATATATGTATAGCGACAATTAAGCAACTATCATTAATTAATGTCGTTAAAAATTATTTTTAGTATAGTGAACGGACCTAATATTGTATATCTCAAAGTTCGCGCACATTTTAAAAAAAATAGTTATAGGATTGAAAAATTAATATTGTATTAACAAAGAGTATTAAAATCTTTACCACCATTAATTGTTTGTCATTACATTCAATATTGTCATAGACTTTAGGGACATTTACAAAGAACGCTAATTACTTTTAAAAATATCTATTTAGTGACAATTAACCTAATATCGTTAATTGTTACTGTTAAAAAAAAATTTGGTGTAATGAACGGACCTAATATTGTAAATCTCTAATACTGTAAATCTCAAAGTTAGCGCATATTTTTGAAAAAAAAAATGATGTTTGAAGGACTGAAAATTTAATACTCTTTCCGTCCCCTATTAGTTGTCCACCTTACTAAATTAAGAAAATATAAATCAAGAAAATATTAATTAATTTTTTTTATCTTACCTTTGCAATTAATTCTTTTTGAAAGTATCCATATTTGTATGTAAAATTCTCAAAAAAATATTGAGTAAATTGATAAAATTATCTTCTTATTTATGATTTCTTAAGCACGCAAAATGAAAAGTGATTTTTCATTTTTCTAAAGAGAACTCATACAGATATATGGAAGAAGATTCATGTCCGTGCGCGGATGAATTGACTAGTTACAGATAAATTAATTTTTAATTTTTAATTATTTGAAATGTGTACTTTCTGATTCCTTTGCTCGTGAATATTTACAAATCCATCACGACTATCAATTGTTCCATCACTTGATTACTCATGTAATATAGTTTTCAAAATAGTCAAAATACAATATATATTTGTCCTACATAAAGTGATTGAAAATATCAAAAATATCATTAGTTCAGTTAGTTAATTATGCAAATAAAACAACAATAGCAATAATGAATTAACCATAAAATATAAAAATATTATATTAGCAACAAGTTATTCAACGATAGATTCTTGAACACTAATACAAAAGTACGAGTACGAGACACAACTCAAAAAAAAAAAAAAACACTAAAAGATAGAAATATAAAGATAACCTTTTTTTTTTTGTTTTTGGTGACTCAATAATAAGGACTAGCTAATCGAAGTTCGTTGCTAATTCCAATATTTTTCGGAGAACCAAATTATTTCCACAACCAACATCTTGTTACCTTGGATTGCTTACGATATTGCCATCGACATTGTGTACACACTGAACCTTCAAAACTTTGGCAAAATGAATGAGATTTGCAAGTTTGCCACAATATTTCTCATTGTTAAGATGTGGAAGTAGAATTTGTCCAATCATTTTCTACTTCTTCTTGTAAAGGTAAGTTTCATAAAGCCATCACTTCATTTGTGTTTGAGGACCAAAATGAATTAACTGCATAACATAATACAACATCAATTGTATCAATATATATGAGATGTGTAAAAATATGACATTTGAACCTAAATCAACTTTCGGTAATTATTACCTTAGTAACTAAGGGTGAATCTAGAGGGTGCCGAGTGTGTTCACCTGAATTTGGGATCACATCGTAGTCATTTGGGCTTGGCCCATGTTTTGTGGAGGTAGCCCAAATTTGGGATTACTTCCTTTATTTGAGTGACTTGCACTTTTCTCCCTTTTTTGTGTTTGTCTTAATTTTTTATTCTAAAGTCAAAAATATTTTCATCGGACATAAATTTTATTTTTACATTATAATATTCTACAAATTATATACCTATCACCCTTAAATAATTTATGCTCCCCTAAACATAAGTTCGATTTTGAAGGGTAAAAATTTGAAAATGAACTACTTTGAAGAGTTGGTCGTGTAATTAAATGTGGAAATTTAGACGATTTCAGTAATTCTCATTTAAAAACCATGAGGAAGGTAAGGTAAAATGTAGGAAATAACATTCAATGACCTTTATAATAAGTAGTTTACTAGTCAACCTTTGATCTTGCTCGTCCCATGAGCCCTTTAGGGTCAAAAGTTAAAAGTTATCAAACTTAAAGTTCTGCCAATGAATAAATCAAGGTCAAAAGTTCAAGTCCGTCCCACCTTTAAAGTTATTCTTATAAGGAACCTTCTTATAAATCACATGATAAAATAGATGCAGATCAACCAAATACAAATAAAAGTGCTTTTCGCTTTTCTTTGTCTTAACTAATTCAAATTTTTGCCTACTAGAAAAATTTTCAATTTATATTCGAATTCAAAACTTCTAATTATGGAAAATCTCATCTAACAATATTTATCCAAAACATTGTTAATTCCTTTTTTTACTCATTACCCTTTATTGCTTTAATCATTGAACTTTTCACTATTATATGCTGGCCCATAAAATGACAATAATTTTCTAGTGGTGAAAGTTGTTGGCCTTATCAACAAAGATCATAAGAAACTTGCCAAACTAAAGCCAAATAAATTGTACCAAAAGTAAAAATATTTGAAACAAGACCATATACTTCTTGCCCTTCATAACTCTTTTGATTTATTGTACTTTTTGTCATTATGTTTGATCTTAGCTAGCTAGCTGGCTTATACACTCACTGGTCAAAATCATACCATCAAAGCAAAACAGAATAGGGGAGGGGAGGGGGGGGGGCGGGGGAGGGGTCCATAACAAATTCCAACAAGGACAAAATCATTGTTGGAAGCTCTATCTTCCCACACCCCTACCATTTACCCAACTGGTCAGAGGTGAATTCAAAATTTAAATTTTATGTGTTCAAGTTTAATTTTTATCACAATTCGCTTATTTTATTATGTTAGGGATACATATTTATATTGTTTTATTGAATATTTAGTGCTTATATAAATGTGTCAACTAATTAGTGAAGGGTTCAACATGTCATGTGACCAAGAGGTAACATATTCAAACTATGGAAACAATCTCTTACACAAATACATGGTAAAGTTGCATATAATAGACTTTTATGTTACGGTTCTTTCCCAAATCTTGCACTAGTTAAAACTTATGAGAGCATCAGACTGTCCTTTTTATACAACGTCTCAATTAAAATTACTGGAGATTCAATACATATGTATACATAAAATATTTTTTACCTATATATACAAAATACAATTTATTGACACGGAAAATTCGCTTAAACCCCTTCGATAAATGTGGCTCCGCACTAACAATCTCTCATATTAGTTAAGAGACGAAGTTATTGTCTTGTTATTGTATCAAAGTCGGAGCCATTCTTGATATTAGACTCATTTATATTATTCACGCTCTAATTGTCCAGATTAAATGTGATAAATATGTTAAGGTGTCTCACATAGATTCAAGGAATGTGTCTTTTTCTTCCCACACCACCTACCCACCCTCCTAAATAAAACACCATAGATCCTAAACCATCCAATGCCAAACAAATAAAGTCTCCATCTTTTATGGTATATGCTTAGCTAGCACCAGTTGTTACTTTTACTATCCACCCCATACCCGCCCCCACCCCACCCCCACCCAAAATCCAAAATTCAAAGAAGTTCACAAGCATTTTGTCCTCTCCTTTATAGCTCACCTCTATTTCATCCACTATAAATACTTGCCCCCTTTAAACCCCATTTTCCCACATAAGAAAATCACAAAAATCCTAAGTTCAAAAAAAAAAATTAAACTTTTTCACTTCTATCTATTGCTAGAAAAAAAAATGGGATTTTCCCATTATGAGTTACCAAAAATGTTGTTTATTTTTTTAGTCTTTATGAATTCTTGCATGTTTTCTTATGGTGGAAATTTCATTCAAGAATTTGACTTTAATTGGGGTGGTAATAAAGTCAAGATTTTCAATGGAGGCCAAATTCTTTCTTTATCTATGGACAAACTCTCTGGCTCTGGTTTTCAATCCAAAAAAGAATATCTTTTTGGGAGAATCGATATGCAACTCAAACTTGTTACTGGAAATTCGGCTGGCACTGTCACATCATACTATGTAATTCTTTTTAAAAATTATACCGTCAGATTTTTCTATAATAACATTGCTTGTCTGAATACTTTGTTACCATAATAAAATGTTGTTATAGAAAACAAACAATATAACATAACATGACATGAAAATTCATTTTCTAATAAAATTTCGCCGTTATGATAAAATGTTATTATAGATGACGATTGTTACAGAGACAACAAAAGAACAATTTTCTAACATTTTATTTGGATTATTTTGCAGCTATCTTCTAAAGGACCAACTCATGATGAAATTGACTTTGAGTTCTTAGGAAATGTTAGTGGTGAACCATATATTCTTCATACAAATGTCTTTAGCCAAGGCAAAGGAGACAAAGAGCAACAATTTTACCTATGGTTTGATCCTACCAAGAACTTCCACACCTACTCAATCATATGGAAACCACAACACATCATGTAAGAACAAACTTATTATATATACATATCCAAAATTTAATTCCATTTTATGCTTTTCTACCTAAATCACTATATGTTATCATAGGCGAATTCAGAATTTCAAGTCAACATGTTTAGAATTTAATCTTATTATACATATACACACATAAGCATCAATTGTTTTATTTTATGTGTCAATATTAGTACTATAAGGGGTGTCTAAGAGATTTTTTGTGATTCAAATTATATGTTACTAACTATTATGTCTTGTATATTTTTTTATTTTTTTTTGTATGTAGTCTCTAAATATATAACTTTTATTTAAATGAAGTTAAAGAATCTATGTCTGATTCGTATGTTGTTCGGACTTTCTAAATATATTGTTGCACTTGCACACGTATCAATGTTCGAGTAACATAGCCGAATTCATGCCGAAAAATTAAGTAGTTTGACACTCGTACTCTTCTACACTCTGTCACATAAAATGAATCAGAGGAACTATATGTGAGTGTATATCAATATTTCTTTTTCTTTGCATATGATACCTAGTTCGAGAAGTTGATTTCTATCACTCAATTAATACTTATTATCTTAGAAAGTCACATTTTTTTCAAACAAAGTATAATCATAAAGAAAAGTGATATTCTGAGATAATACACTAACTATTAGATGAGTGACAATCTGAGAAATCAATCCTTAGTTTGAACAGAAAGTAATGAGTTCAGTTGAACCAACAGAAACAGTCCTAACTCCTATATGTGCATGTGCTAATCATTACTCATTGTTTATTTTGATTTTTTTTTCTTTTTAGTTTCTTGGTGGACAACACTCCAATTAGAGTATTCAAGAATGCAGAATCACTTGGTGTTCCATTTCCCAAGAACCAACCAATGAAAATTTACTCAAGTCTATGGAATGCTGATGATTGGGCTACAAGAGGAGGACTAGTGAAAACTGATTGGTCAAAAGCACCATTCACAGCCTATTATAGAAATTTCCATGCACAAAAGTTTAACAAATCTCAGTTTTTAGATGCAAAATGGCAAAATCAAGAACTTGATGCTAATGGAAGAAGAAGACTTAGATGGGTTCAAAGGAATTATATGATTTATAATTATTGCACTGATTACAAAAGATTTCCTCAAGGTTTTCCTCTAGAATGTAGAAAATTTTGAGTTTGTATGGTTACGTTGCTCGGTCTCTCCAAAAATGTTGTCGCTCGCCTATGTCAGATCCTATCTGACATGTGATTGATGGCTTTTTTTTTGAAGAGTTCGAGCAACATAGGTTGTATGTTGAATATGTTATGATTGTAGTTGTGACTTGTACTATGACAATATCTTATGCCTACCAAAAGTTTTTTAAATTCGAAATTCTAATAAGAGGGATATTCAGGATTTGAACTTTATTGTGTTTGAGATGTTAGTGAATTCACTTATTGTTTAGTTATGGGATTCAAAATTTAGTACTTGTTTATATTTAGTAGATTTCTCTACATATTATTAAGTCTAAGCTAAAGTTACTAAGTTCGACTAAACCGTACTTTTGAAATCTCACCACCAACCAACCAAAAAACAGAACAGAAAGAAAGCAGACTACAGAGTATTTGCACAAGCTTCAAATTAAGCTAGACTTACAACTAAAGCACCATAACATGTCATGGTTTATTACTTTTATTCAAACACGTAACTATTTATTTATAAAAATCGGCTTTAGCACTTGATACTAAATGCCTTGGTGGGAAGAATCACTTGATACCTGACTTGGTGAAATAGTCGTGGTGTGCCAAGATGGCCTAACGGATGCGGCAACATTTTTGGAGACGGAGTAACAAATGATTTATTCACCAAGCAAAATCTCATTAACATAAGCCTTGAGATTGACATTAGATGAACCATTTTCCTTCATAGCATCCTTAGCTAAATCCCTCCATTTCTTTGCATTTTTTCTTATTTCCCCATCTCCCACCACAATCTCTATACACCTCGCGAACTCATTCCTCTCGATAACACCTTCATCATTGGCGTTCACTCTGACTCCCATCTTCCAAACATCTTGAATAAGCTTCGCATTACTTAATTGATCGATCCAAAGAGGACACGCCACGACTGGCACCCCCGAAGCCAAACTCTCCATACTCGAATTCCATCCACAGTGAGTCAAGAAACAAGCCAACGAAGGGTGTTGTAGAACCTCCACTTGTGAACACCAATCCACTGTTTTCCCTAACTCTTCCAATTCCTCTTTGCAACTCAACTTTTCAAATGGCTTTTCGCCATTCGCCCCCTCTCTAATTATCCACAAAAATGGCCTTTTACACAAAACTAAACCATGAGCAATCTCTTCCTTAAGTTGATTTGGTATTTGAGAATAACTACCAAATGCTATGTAAATTACAGATTTTTTAGCCTTAGAATCCAACCAATCCATATAATTTTCGAGACTTCGTCTCATATCAACTCCAAATGAAGTATCAGAAGAATCATTTCCATCAAGAAAAGCTGAAGGAATCAAAGGGCCAATTCCGAATATACTAACATTCTCTATAACATTCAAAGCATCAAATTCCAAAGCATCGAAAGTGTTCACAAGAACTTTTTGGTTTGTCTCACTCTTTAGTAACTCAACATGTTCTTTCATGGCAAGTAATGTCCAATCATTCGAATCATTAAACACAATAGAAGGGAAATCACGACGAGACAACAAAGGCAGACCAGGAAACTCAAAAGATTGATCTTTTGAACAATTCTTGATAGAATCCTCATAACCATTGAAAAAATAGTAGTAAATATTCAAGACTGAGGCTGGTTGAATCCAAAGAAACGTGGTTGGAACGTTTATACTCTTGGCTAATAAACCAATCCAGGCAGTTAACGTCGTGTAGATGATACGTTTAAAAGGGCAGCCCTGTTTTGCCCTGTCTTCGACTAAATTTGTGACAAATTCAGTACCATGAGTCCTCAATGATGCATTGAACTCACGGAAACTGTTCGTAGAACCATTGAAGTTGCCATCAAAACCATCAGAGAAAGGAGCAAATGTTAATCCTTGTATGGTTGGAAGATTCGAGATTCGATTAAAAGCTGTTAGGCTTGTAGAGAATGTGACATTTACACCTAATTTGATCAAATTCTTGGAAAATTGAATACATGGATTTATATTTCCTTGTCCTGTAAATGAAACAACAAGAACATGACAATCATCATTCAAAGTGGTCATTTTTTCGAGATAAATATTTCTTTTCTTGGTGTTCAATGATGGAAATGAAACAAGACAAACATGAAAATCATCTTTAATTCTTAGAGATTTTAGAAGATGATGAATGAGTGAACAACATCCAATTCTGTTAATAGTACTGATGGGAAATTTTTTTATCCACAAGTATGATGTGGCATACAAGAATTGTATGAGGCCCATTTATATTTTGCCAAGTGGATCACTTTCAGAAAAAGGGATCTCTTGGTTTCTTTTATAAAACAATTGTTCCAAATTTTATACTTCCATACATAAATAACTTTATTCATGAAAAATATGAAATTCAAAAAAAATTTGTTTGACTCATTCTATTTATTACATTTTTATATTGTTTTTCCATCTCATATTAATTATTTATATTATTAAAAATAGTTATATAAAATTATTTTTTAATTTACAAAGATATGATTAATTAAAAATTTTCTATTTTATTATAACAATTAATTTTAAAAGTATAAATAAAATTTATAAAGTTACCAAAAAAAATTAAGGTATATATTTTATTTGTGTTTTCTTAAGAAATTTGTAAAAGAAAAAGTAGATAATTAATATGAAAAATAAAGACGGTATAAATTTAATATGTTCTTTTATTTTTCTCTCAACAATTTCATAATCCAAAAACACTTAAATCCACAAATACTCTTCAATAAGTAACTAAAACGGAAAGAACATCAATGATCTTGAAAAACAATTACATAAGTTTTGATACTATTGTCATGAAATTCAAAAACGAAAAACATCCATAAACACCAACATAAGTACATATTATTTCCGTCAATTTATACGATATTTTTATTCTTAAAAATCAAGATAGGTGAAATTTAATAAATATTTTGCTTATCTACTTTTCTTACATGTTCTTAAAGAAATTATAAATATAAATAATATTTTAAATAATTCATTCCTTAAAAGAATTTTTGCAATTTTGCAAAATTTATTTATAATTATAAAAAAAATTAATTGTTAGGATTAAAAAAACTACTTATATCTTGATTTTATAAACTAAAAAATAAATTTCAAACAACTATTTATTATAATAAAATAAATAATATAGAATAGAAAAAATAATATTAAAATAATAAACTAAAAACTTATATAATGATCGTAAATTTAAATCAAAATTCAGTACGTAAAAAAAGAAAAGCATAAACTAATTAGTTCAGTAGGTTGATTACATGAATTTTCACAATTTTTTTTTTTGTAATTTCACTATCCTCAATTTTCTTGAATTCATCCAAAAATAAGTAAATTTATTTTTTTCAACATATTAGTTTAATTTCCCCTCAAATAAATAGTAATAGAGATATAAAATATATAATAGATACCGTGTGTGAGTTTCAAAGTTTCTTTATTAAAACAAAAAATAAAAAATAAAATTTACACTAAGAATTAACAAGCAAAAAGGAAAATGCAAGTAAGAAAGAAAAAGTAAAAGAAAAGATTAAAATTAGAAAAGAAAAAGTAGGGAAATAAGTACATATGGGTCCCACAGTATAAATGTGGCAGCCAAATGAGGCATCACACAACTGAAAGTATGTGTGCCTTGCACAGAATACAAATTTTCGTACTGATGGGACCAGTTTATATGTGTAGTAACCTATATGGCTCCGACTCTTTAGAAATATTGATAGGTGAATGTTGGATATTTCAAAAATAGTGCATATTTGGAGAATTCAACTACAGTGCAACAATATTTTTGGAGTGTTCAAACAACAGTAACTGATCTTGTTCTTATGAAATAATAATTCTTAGAATTTAATGTTTAAGTGTAGGAAATTGAGATAAAATGTCCGTGAATATCGAGGGATTTGATCGAATGGATAGGATATCTTCACTCTTAATCAGAAATCTTAAAGTTTGAGTTTTAAGAAAGTGGAAATCCTTGATTTGTTAAAGAGAGGTTTCGCCTTTAATAGATCATACGTGACATGAATCTGAATTAGTTGGACCAATGAATTCCAAATACCAGATAGTTAAAATAGCACTTCAAATTGGATTACAAAATCAAATCTCCACGTATATGAAGTGTAATGCTCAAGAACATGACTATAACTTGTCATGAATCTTTCAAATAGGATTTTATTAGAAAACTTGAAGGCACAATAATAACAAGATAGAAATAACAAGACCACTAAAATATCCTATGTTGCTTGAACTTTCCAAATATTGTCTCACTCATGTCGTATCCTCCAAAAAAATGCACTACTTTTGAAGAATCCAGCATGCAGTTGCCAACGTTTTTCAAAAGTCCGAGCAATATAGAAGCTATCCCATCTTATTCTTAACAAATAATAAGCAAATGATACAAAGAGACTTATCAATAACCTTTGGCAACTTCATCAATAAAAGCCTTTAAATTCTTGTGTGAAGATCCACCTTCTTTCACAGCTTCTCTAGCCAATTCTTTCCATTTTTTCGCGTTTTTTCTCATTTCTTCCCCTTTTACCCCTCCATCCATAACACATTCAATGCACCTTTTCAATTCTTCACTCTCAACAATACCATCTTCATTCACATTCACTCTAATTCCACTCTTCCACACATCTTCAATTTGTTTAGCATTTGTCATTTGATCAGTCCATTGAGGAAACGCCACGACCGGTACTCCACAAGATAAGCTCTCCAGAGCTGAATTCCATCCACAGTGTGAAACAAAACATCCTAAAGACGGATGTCTCAAAACTTCGAGTTGTGAACACCATGGTACAATTTTTCCTATTTTTTCCAACTCTTCAATACAACCAATTACTTTTTTCTCACTTTCTTTGTTTTTTTCATCTTCTTTTATTATCCATAAAAATGGTCTACCTATATCTATCAACCCTTTTGATATCTCCTCCATTTGACTTATTGATGGATTCATTAAACTCCCAAATGATATATAAACAACAGATGAATTTTCCTTTGTGTTTAACCATTCTATATAGTCATTTGACTTGTCAAAAAGATCAGCACCAAAACAAGAATCCAAAGGGTCATTTCCATCTAAAAATGCACTAGGAATTAATGGTCCAATTCCATAAAATTTGTAATTTTCAATTGCTTTTAATGCATTTGGCTCTAATTCATCAAATGTATTCACAAGAATTTTTGGATTAGTTTCAGAATCTAATGTGTTTATTAATTCTTTGAAAGGTGGAAGTGCAACTCTAAGGCTTCCTTTAACATTCGATGGAAGTAAAAATGAAGGAAGATCTTTAGTTTTTAATTGTGGAAGGCCAGGAAGTTGAATGGACCAATTTGGATCTTTTGATTCATTTGCCATTTCTTTTTCATATCCATGAAAGTTGAAATAATATATGTCTAAGATTGTAGCTGGTTGACTCCAAAGAAGAGCTGAAGGGATGTTGACTTCACGTGCGACCTATTCAGAAATAATATAATTAAAATAATTCAACATAACATATAGGAGGACGTGTTTAGCCCATGAAAATGAAACAAGTCGGAAACATATAGGAGGGCATGCTAAAAGTTGAGACATAATGAAACTAAGGGATAATAGTACTTTTGGTACATAGATTCTGATTTTAGTTCTTGTGATAATATATTTGACTAATCGAACTTATTTAATCTTTAAATAATAAAAATGTCTTTTTTTGTCCCTTTAGCTAGGAAATATATTATATTTATATTATTTTTAAAAGTATATTAGGTAATTACAAACTTAACATAACACATGGGTAATTAAATAGTATAGCGATTAATAATTTGGTAAAGTTGTCGCAAAAGGAATAAAAGTGCATCATATCAATTAATTGAAAGTTCAATATACTTAGTCGTCATATGTCATAAGGATCAAAATCAAAATTTACTTATAACCGAGAGACTCAAAGTACTATATTCCTATATATAATCAAGAATGTGCTGGTAGGAGATAGTAGATACCCTGTGAAATTAGTTGAGATGTGTGGAAACAGACCGGACACACAAGTAATAATCAAGAAGGAAAATTACCTCTGCTGCCCAAGGAAGAAAAATGGAGTAAAGTAGGCAAGTTATAGGACTTCCATTTTCAGAACAATTGATGATAATATTTTTGACAGTTTCACTTCCACATTTTCTAAGTTGTGACATATAAAATACAGGATCTTTTGAATGATCAAATCCATCATCAAATCCATCAGAAAATGGAACAAAATTCATCAACCCCTTTGGAAAATTATCAATGGATTTTTTTTCATCCATAAGTCTTTGTGCATAAATACTTGTAGAAAATGTCACTTGTATGCCATTTTTGACAAGATTTTTGGCAAATTGTAGTGCTGGATTAATATGACCTTGTGCTGGAAATGTTGTTAAAATAACATGAGGCTTCACCATTTTTTTTTGAAAAAAAAAACTTGCTATTATTTTTATTGGTTTTCTATTGTGATGGATAGTTGATTTGCTCATGAAATATATATATAACACATAACATAATGTTGGGTGGGGGTGGGGGTGGGGGGTGGCACATTTGTATGTGGAATGGGGAGTGTAACTACCATTATTTGGAGAGTACAAAGGGACCATTTATGTGTCATAAATGACAAGTGATGAACCTAATAATACTTTTGTTAAAAAAATTCAACAATCTTACGTCAATGTCATAGTGTTAAGAGTTAATTACATTCTATTTCTACTCTTTTTTAAATTACAGAAATCTCTTAAATTTCATGGAATCTACCAAAACGCCATGATACATTGCGTCCTAATTTCGGATACATCATTCAACGTCCCGATATATCGCATCTCGATTTTGGATACATCACTAACACCCTGATATATCGAGTAAAGTGATATATCTGATCGATTCAAAGCAGAACACACATTCATTAGGCATAATAGTCACACGGCCCTCTTTATTAATTCTTATCCTAATTTCATATTTGTCCTCCCTCAAGATCATTTAATTTCTACATACATATATACTCCCTCCATTCATTTTTAATTGTCATGCTGCGCTTTTTGAATGTTAATTTAATTAATTTTCAAAGTTAAATTAGATTACATTAATTCGATATTTTAAACAAAAACTTTAGATATTCAAAAACTATACGAAAAGTACTATAAATTACAATTTTTATATATATCGATATGATGAAAAAACACATCGTAAAATGTTAGTCAAAGTTCTTATAGTTTGACTATAAAAAAAGAAATCATTACAATTAAAAATGGACACTACGTTATATTATCAATTCATTCATGTGTAATACAAGATCAACTTCATTCACTTGCACCTTATTCCTGTCTTTTCCACATAAAAGCGAAATATAAAATTAAAATTTGATAAGTTTAATAATTAACGTTTTAAATTTTACATATATAATGTAATTTTTTGATGTAGGAGCGAGGACCGGCCGTCCTTCTCTATGAGAACAAGTTTCTCTACTAAGTGACAAACTAGAATAGCTAGATCTTGTTAGTTACTGAGAAAACCAAAGATCAATTCACCATGAATATATATATGCATCAAACAAGATTCTAGCTAGCTTAAAAGTCTTTATAAAGAACAAATAAATTAGACAAAATATTTCTTAATCATTAATCGATAAAACCAAAGATCATTTTTTCGGTTTGAATCGATTTGAGGTTTGGTTTGATTCGGTTTTGCACATTTCTAGTACAAACATGTGTACGTATATACATCAGGGTAGCTTGTCAAAATATTACACTGTATATATAAAGATCGAAATATTATTTATATATGTATATAGTAGATTCTGAATTCCATTAGCTTCTTTGATTCACGTGTTTACTTCTATAAATTATGAATCCTCTTAGAGGGTGTTTGGATTGACTTATAAGTTGGTCAAAGTTATTTTTGAGTCAGTTTTTTTATTGGAAGTGTTATGCAAATATAAAAAATAACTTAAAATAAGTTGGAAAATGTTTGGCAAGATAAAAAAATGACTTAAAATAAGTTTTAAATGACTTAAATTAAGTCAAAAACCAAAAGTAGGTCTCCCCCTACTTTTTATTTTTTTTACTTAAAAGTCATTTCAATTTGATTTTTTATTTTTGACTTAAAAACTACTTTTTTTAAGTCAATCCAAATGGGTTTAAACACTTGATTCACTAAATCTTTTAGTCAAAAGTATATTAATTTTGTCATTAATTATATATTTATTAGTTTGGAATAAACACTCTATTCACTAAATCTTTTTCCTTTGACACCCCTATATATATATATGTAACCATTCAGTCCAACTTGAGTATAACATCTCATCAACTTCACAATCATATAATTAAGAAGCCACTTACCATATTATATTTAATCAAACATGAATAAACAACATTTCCTTGTTATTTCTTTGCCTGCACAAGGCCACATAAACCCCACTCTCCAACTAGCCAAAAACCTTGCACGCACCGGTGCACGCGCCACCTTCGTCACGACCGTTTACGGCCTCAACCGAATGAACAACCTTCCAACACAAGACGGGCTATTCTATTCCTCGTTCTCCGATGGGTACGACGATGATTCTTGGATGAATTCGAACAACACCGTGGATTATTTCATGAACGATTTAAAGATAAACGGATCAAAAAACCTCAAAGATCTCATTCAAAAAATTTCTGACGAGGGTCACCCCGTTATGTTCTTGGTCTACACAATTCTCTTGCCGTGGGTTGCGGTGGTGGCGCGTGAGATACACGTGCCGTCAGCTTTTCTTGTCATTCAATGTGGTACTGCTTTTGCAATTTATCACCATTTGTTAAATTCCACTAACGGAGTTTATAGTAACTCCGTTAGCGATTTTACGGTTATGCCCTCCTTTCCTATTGAAATTCCGGGATTGCCCTTATTTTCATGCAATGATATTCCTAATATAGTTTTACCTAATAATCATCTTTCTTCAATCATGATACCTATTTTGAGAGAACATATACAAAATCTTGAAAATGATCCAAATTCGTATGTACTCATCAACACATTCGACGCGTTAGAAGAAAAATCCATGAGAGTTATAGATAAATTCAGGATGTTTTCGATAGGCCCTTTGGTTCCCTCAGCTTTTTCCGATGGAAATGACCCTAAGGACAAGTCATTTGGATGTGAATTATTTGATAAATCCGAAAAAAACTATCATCAATGGTTGGATTCGAGACCTGAGGGCTCAGTTGTGTATGTATCATTCGGGAGCTTAGCCGTGTTAAAGAAAGAACAAGAGAAAGAAATTTTACGCGGATTATTAGAAAGTGAAAGGCCTTTTTTATGGACGAGGAGAAAAGGGGAAGACGAAGGAAAAAAGAAGAATCTTGAATATGACGATGTTATAATAGACGAAAAATTAGGTTTAATTGTACCTTGGTGTTCACAAATGGAGGTACTATGTCATAAGTCGATAGGGTGTTTTGTTACACATTGTGGATGGAATTCGACTCTGGAAAGTCTAGTGAGTGGGGTACCTATTGTGGGGTATCCACAATTTTCTGACCAAACAACAAATGCCAAAATGTTGGAGGAAGTTTGGGGAATTGGAGTAAGAGCAAAAGAAGTTGAAGGAATTGTTAAAAGAGAAGAGTTAAAGAGGTGTTTGGAAATTTTAATGGAAAATGGAGAAAAAGGGGAAGAAGTTAAAAGGAGTGTGAAGAAATGGAGTGATTTAGCTTTGGATGCTGTGAAAATTGGAGGTTCTTCACATGACAATCTCAAGAAATTCATAGAGGGTTTGTGATATTATAATATAAGGAGTCGTTTGGTTTGAATACAAGTTATGTCAGGATTAGTTATGCTGGAATAAGTTATACTATGATAAGTTATGCTAGGATTAGTTATGTTGGGATTCATTTTTATTACTTGCTTGTTTGTCGTATTAAAACTTATATTCATTGCATAATTTCTAAGAATAAGTTGTTTGTTTACAAAAATACCCTCCACCTTATTTAGTTTTTTTGTTTTTTTTTTTACATTTTCTTTGCAAGTTTTAGTTATTCATTCTTAAATATTAAATTTTCCCTCTTATTTAGCTTAAGAAACAATATAGGGTTTCTCATAAGAAAAATTGCAAGTGTACAATCAATTCACAATGTCTAATTGGGCTTTCATTCACAAGTTCTAAGTCCTTTGTAATCAAAGTCTAAAGTAGGGGTGTCAATTTTGGCCCAAATACAAATATAACCTGCCCAAGTCAACCAAATACTAATATTCTATCTCTCACTATCTAATTATTCACTCGGTTAGAATTTCGAGAATCAAACAGTTAAATAGTAATTATATCCGTATCAAGCCTATCATCTCTTCTCGTGAAAGACTTTCCATCATGTTCCTGAAAGATCTACAATATAATTAGTGACCCTGCTTCAAAGTCTCGGGCATGAAATCTTTAAATTTTTTAAAATAAAATTAATATATTTGAATACTACGTAAAAAGTACTATAAAGCATAATAATTATCATTCAAGATATATAAAAGACATGCAATAATTATAATTAAAAAAAACTTATTTAAATCTCAAAATCTAAAAATACCACATAAATTATAACGTAAATTCAAATTAATCGGAGTCACAAGGTAACAAAGGGACGCCAGGTGGAATCCAAAAAAAAAGAAAGGAACAAAGTGGAAAACTTGATCCAAATGGAAACTGTATGATTCTTGGGAATTAATAAACTAAAAAAAATGTATGAAAATAAGATAATAATATTAGTAAAAACAATTAACCCCTTAATTGACGGAGCAATATCATTATCAAAATGCCTCAAAAATTGACTTGCAATATATAACATCCACACGTTAGATTAGTTAGCATAATTATATTGTTAGGAGATACAAAAATGATCATTCGAAAAGACAACACGATTATAAAGATTTTGGATATAAGTATAGGGAAAACGTAAAATTTAAGTTAAAATCACTAAATTCTCTTAAATATGTACTGTAACTTTATATCCGTGTTGATATATTGACTTTCATTCAACATATAATAAAAAAAAGAATTTAGCTCGAACTTAATAAATTTAATTCAAATTTTGTGTTTGTTAAATAATTTAGTTAATAAACATATTATTAATTTTGAACTTAAAAATTAAAGTAGTATTCAAAATTCATAAGGTTCAAATTCTTTGTGCCCTTGTTATTTATAAGCAAGGGCAGAGCCAAGTATGGCCGAATTGAAGAGGGTTCATCAGTGAAAAATTATATTGTTATATGTGGTTAAAATTATTTTTATGTATGTATAGCAAATGCTGAAATTTCTTTCAACTTTTTCGTGTGTTTACTTCTTCTTAGGTTAAATTCTATTAATAAAAATCTAACTCCGTCACTTCGGTTATAAGTTATGCCAATTGATGTTTCATTAGTTTTTTCACTAAAATATAACACGGTAACGTGTGGAAAATATGAAGCGTGATACTTCGTCAAAATTTTCTTAGTCAGTAATTACTCCAAATTAAACAAACGTTTAATTATCTTATACGGTAATTACGGACCATTTGATAAACAAGTTCAATTTCTAAACTTATATTATGTTTGGATGTTTTTTATGTATTGTTTCATAATATATTATATTATATTGTATTGTATTGTAGTGATAATATTTGGATATATTGTATCATTCTATATTGTTACATAATGTTATACATCAGTAATTTGAATAAATCTACAAGAAAAAAATAGGGACAAGGTAGAGGTACTATAAAAAGGTAGGATAAGGAATAAAACATGGATTATTAAATAATAAGTAAAGGCAAAAATGAAAAGAAATAATTAAGGTAATGACACGATTATATTAAATGAATTATTATACGAAATGAGATTTAACTATTAAGGCAAGTAAATTTTTTTTAATAGTTGTAATAACTTATATTCGTACGCGATTACATGATGATGTAATTATTTTCTTAATTTCCTTAATTTTTATTTAACTATTAAGGCAAGTAATTATTATTTTTCGTTATTTTCCTTCATTTATTTTCTTTTGTTAAACTAAACAAAGAAAGTAATAAAAAAAAAATAGATAACGCTATTTTTTAATTCTTTTTTTTCTTCCTTTCTTTATTTTTCATATACACAAGTTAAAAGTACGATAGTCACTCCTCTTTAATTTGTATTCTCATAATTGGGAATACGAATATTTCAAAATAAGATAAAAATATTCTTTCATTTTTTTTCTTATATGCATATTCGAATTTATTTCTCTAGACGATTAAAGCACTCATTCAAATTCTAATAATATGTCAGTGTATAGATATGATTATTTGCTCTTAATCAGAAGTTTCAAATTTAAATTGTAATATGAAGAAAAAAAATCATAGTAGGGCGCATTTTCTCATTAATGGTCTACCTCGTAGTGACTGGTGTATATTCAAACAAGTTTAAATCCAATACAAATATCATACACCAAATAAAAATAGAATTTAAAAAGTATAATATAATGAATATTACTGCGACTATTACTTTTCCAATCGATATACAAACACAAAATTTGTAATAAAATGCCACATTTAATCAAAAAAAAAAAACACAAAATTTGCACTATCGTTACAAAAAAAATTGCTAGTTCTCATGAGTTTATTCATTGGTAAAAATTAGTTGCAAGCAATAGTTATCGACTCATTCTTCATATTTCTTCAATTATCAATCAATAGTTAAAGTTTTAGTAATGATAAGTAATAATATAAGGTTGTTGAATTATTCAAGTTATATTTGAAGAAAAGTTGATTTAGAGTGTTCACTAATTACTACATTAACTTGTCTTAAAGATAGGTAGATGAAAGTAACAAATACAATCTACATAACTTGCTTAAAAATTATATATTCTAAATAAGTGATAAAGTGTGTGGATGTTTTAATAATTTCTTGACCCAATTTTAGTAAGAAAATATTTAATAAACTCTTTCTTTATATGGTTTCACCCTTACTTCAAATTATTTAAATTGAAAAATTTTCAATTTTTGGATTTGAATTTAAATTCTAACTTTAAAAGGAAAATTTTGAAAAAGGAAATTAAAAGAATATTTATTATAATATGTATTTCTTCCATACCTAATGTTAATTAGTATTTTCATATGAGTTGAAAAACGAATACATAACAATTACATCAAATACTAGAAAAATAACAAATCGAACACATTTATTTTGACTGAGTTGAGTTGCATATTTATGAAACTAATAATTTGAAAAATCAAACATGAATAACAAATCTCAAATAAATAATTAAATACACAAATATACAAGATATTTTAGAAAATGTCTCGTATTTTCCCTTGAAACTTTATCAGAATTTTAGCATAGACATTAAGGTCAATGGTAAATACCAATAAAGATACAAAAGACGTATGACTAAATAATTTAAAAGTATATCATATAGCAATAAAATTAAGATATTTCGTATACTAAAATCCTGTTCAAGTCGTGACGATGAGAATGTTGAAATAGATGTGTAAACAAAATAGGAGAGACAAGATTAGTAATGAATTGGAATAAGGTAAAAGTGATCTAGATATTGGACACGATGAGGAAAATTAGACTGAAATGATTCATGTATGTGTAGAAGAGATGCACGAATGTACGATCCTAGTAGTGGAGGTCAGGGCCGGCTCTATGTATACAAAAATAAGGCATTGGCCTTAGGTCCCCAATTTTAGGGGGCCTCAATTTTTTACCAAGAATAAATTATGTGTTAATTTTTTAAAGAGAAACATTAAATATTTATGATAAAAAGTATATATTTAAAATTATTATTTTATTCTCTTCAACCCCATTCAAATAGAAGAAATCAAGAAAATATTGTTTTATTTTCTTACACTCTCTCTACTAATACTCAAATTATTTTCTTTTTAACTCCTTTTACACTCTCTTCTTTAAATTGTTGACAAGTTAGAGTAATATTTTGTCAAAAATATCAATTAATAGTCGAAAAGTGTTGAGCAAATTGAATTGTAAATTCTTTTTCCATTTCTTCTTAGATTTTCAAGCATTACAACAACCATAGTAAAATGTGGGGTAACCAAATTATCAACTTCATCAAAGCTATGGTTCTAACTATTATATTTATTTGAAATTTGTCAACTTATTACTTGTAGAACTATGTTAACAATTCATATAATGATTGCCCGAGTAAAATAATATTTTTCAACGTTGAATTAATAAAATCTTATTTAAAACTAATAAATGAAAAAGAAATCGAATAAATCATTTATATATAAAAAAATATATTAGGTAATACTTTGCATTTAAAAATGTAAGAAAAATAAATTTTAAATAAATGCATGTGAAGTTTATTTAGATTTTAGGTCTCTAATTAAGATTTCGCTTTAGGCCTCCGATTACGTTGAGCCGCCCCTGGTGGAGGTATGAGAGATTGATGAGTGGTTTTAAGAGATGTAGAGGTAGGCCGAACAAGTATTGGGGAGAGGTGATTAGTCAGAATATAATACAATTTCAGCTTACCGAAGACATAATCTTAGATAAGAAGTTAAGAAGGACACAAACGAGGATAGAACACAATTGAACTGTTTTTTCTTCAGCTCAGAGCTTATCAATAGCAATCTCTCTACCTCTAAAATAGTGACTATATCTCCTTACACTCTACAATATATTGTTGTTATTTTTCATGTAAAAAAACAATATTTTTCCATATAATCAAGTTTAAAACCAATTTTTTTTTAAAAAAGGTGAAACATTTGTAAGAAAAAAAATAGAATAAAAGAGGAAATAGAAGCAACCAGTTGTTGA